TCCCTAGTGTTTACTGCCCCAAGTGTACCTTCCCTAGTGTTTACTGCCCCAAGTGTACCTTCCCTAGTGTTTACTGCCCCAAGTGTTCCTTCCCTAGTGTTTACTGCCCCAAGTGTACCTTCCCTAGTGTTTACTGCCCCAAGTGTACCTTCCCTAGTGTTTACTGCCCCAAGTGTACCTTCCCTAGTGTTTACTGCCCCAAGTGTTCCTTCCCTAGTGTTTACTGCGCAAGTGTACCTTCCCTAGTGTTTACTGCCCCAAGTGTACCTTCCCTAGTGTTTACTGCCCCAAGTGTTCCTTCCCTAGTGTTTACTGCCCCAAGTGTACCTTCCCTAGTGTTTACTGCCTCAAGTGTTCCTTCCCTAGTGTTTACTACCTTAAGTGTACCTTCCCTAGTGTTTACTGCCCTAAGTGTACCTTCCCTAGTGTTTACTACCCTAAGTGTTCCTTCCCTAGCGTTTACTGCCCCAAGTGTACTTTCCCTAGTGTTTACTGCCCTAAGTGTACCTTCCCTATAATGTTTACCTCCCCAAGTGTACCTTTCTCTAGTGTTATCCACTCACAATCAGGGATCCCGGGTTCGATTTCCTGGAGGGACAATGGTTGGGCACATATATTCTTTCACCTAATGCCTCTGTTCACCTAGCAGGAAATAGGTACTGTACCCAGGAGTTAGGCAACTGTTGCGTGGCTGCATTCTGGAAAAGATCAGTAGTTCGATCTTGGTGGGTACCTTGATACAAGCCTAAAGTATAAACATATACACAAGCATTCTGTCCCAGACAAAACTAATTACAGTATTATTATTATTAAATTTCTCAATGTGTGTACTCTCCCGAAGCAAGAGTCTGTTTCAACAATACCGTCCATATTTTTGGTATGGCCCAAAGTACCCTCCCATATGTATTCCCTTCTACTAAAGGTATGATGGGTACATTCAGTGGCAACCTTATACTGTGTGTGCCCTACCCCCCCCCCCACATGTACTGTACTCCCCCCAACTGTGAGTACTGCCAAGTGTACTTTATCTATTGTATGTACTGTACCACTTTAGGTGTCTCATCTGATGTGCACCATCCATCATGTACCATCCCGATAGCTCGACCCCCATCCCCCCATGTGCAGTCTGATATTTCTAATGTCCACACTTTTGCTGGCTCAAGTATTGCATTCCAAGTATACTGTCATAAAGAGTATTGTTTCAAGTACATCATCTCAAGTGTTCTGTCTTGTGGGTATTGTTCCAAGTGCATCGTCCTGAGAGTATTGTTCTAAGTGTACTGTAATGAGGATATTGTTCCAAGTGTATCATTCAGTGTGTTCTGTTCCAAGTGTATCGTCCTAAGTGTATGGTCCTAAAGAAATTGTTCCAAGTGTATCAGTCTAAATGTACTGTCCTGAAGGAATTGTTCCAAGTGTATCATTCAGTGTGTTCTGTTCCAAGTGTATCGTCCTAAGTGTATGGTCCTGAAGGAATTGTTCCAAGTGTATCATCCTGAGGGTATTATTCTAAGTGTAGTGTCCTGAGTGCTCAGTTCTCTGTCTCGAGTAGTGTCATTAGTACTGTATATATATTGTTCCAAGTGTATCGTCAAGAGAATACTATTCCGAGTGCATTGTCTAAAGTACCCAGCATTCAATACAGAGAGTGAATTCACAAACCCAGTGTGTGTAGACCTAAGTACACCATCCATAGTGTAGTTTTTCTAAAGTCCCATATTGTTGGGATTGTACCCCTAGAATAGTTACAAAGAGTATCAGTGTACTGTCCCAAATATATCCCGAGAGTACTATTTTGAGTACAACTGTCCCGCGTATATACACGAGTGTACTGTCCTAAGTACAAACTGTCGTATGTGTACTGTCCCAAGTAATCTATCCCAGGTATACTATCCTTAACGTGCCATCCCAAGAGCACAGTGTCGAGTATTCCATTGCCCGAGTCCAGTCCTGAGTGTACTATTCCAAGAGTACCTCCCCGAGTATTCCGTCCCTAGCACACCATCCCAGTGTTCCATCTCAACTATCCCAGTGCTTCAACCCCGAATAACTAACATGTTGGATACTAGTACAAAAGAAACTAACCTAAATGAATATTCTTAATATAAACCTACCCAATGCAACTGTATCCTGAAAACCTTCATTGTGGCAGAATCTACAGTTTAAACCCACCCACTGACAGAACCAGTAACTTGAATCTAGTGACAGACGCCTGAACCCACTGTAGCAGACTCAACACCATGAACCCTATCACTAACAAAATGAACAGTTAAAGTCCTCCCATTGACAGTAATTAAGAGTTGGAACCCTCCCACTATGACAAAATTAAAGAGCATAATCCAGTGTGAAAGAACCAAGAGTTTGAGCCTATCCATTGAGGCAGAATGAATAGTTTAAGTCCACCCACTCAAAAATTCAAGTGTTTGAACCCACCCACTGTGACAGAATCAGCATTTTGAACACTCGGTGAAACGATTAACAGTCTGAACCCACACCAGCTGATCTAAAGAGCGTTCTGAACCAATGTCGTATGATAAGATCAACGGCCTGAACCCATGCACTATGATGAAATCAGTGACTTATGTGCATACTCTGACATAATCAACAGTTTGATACAAACCTGAGGAGATTTAGTCAACTATTTTTAATGCACACTAACATCTTCACCAATCAGAATGCAGTGTGAGTGACATGTTTCAAATTCGTACTGTGCAATTCAAGATACTAAAATTTATCTTGCTTATAATCTTTGTTGGCAGTTGTTAAGCATAGCTCAAGCATACACAAAAGGTATGTTATTTTTGTATATAAATTTTTGTTCCATTCCAAGTGATCAAAACAATCACATTTGAAAACTGGATCTGATGGAATGAGGGCTATTTCTGTATGTAAATGTTGCCAATGTCCCCCCCCCTTCCAATCTGCCTTACATAGCTCTCCAATTTCAAAATGTTGTTTTTAGTCCCAGTATCAACAGTAGTATACATAATGCTGTTGAAACAGAGTATCAATTGGACTAACCTGAAGTGGGCATTATTACCTCATGCGAAGCTGAGTGCTGCAGGCAGGAGGGTAGACTCGTCGCTACCCTTGGCCCTCAGCAGCACATGGGCCAAATGTTATTCTTAGAGTACACAAATTTTGTTAATCAGACAAAATGTAAACAATCATATCACCTCAAATACAATTTAAATGTCCATCATGACATGGCTTTCCTGAGTCACCTTTATACACTAGGAGGCTACACATTAACAAGATTCTAACTATTGTATGAGGCAATATATATATGAATTATGAAAACAGTTTTTTTTTTCATTTCACCCTGAAAATGTCCTTGATTTTATGCCATGTCATTACCTGTACTTCATCTACAGTGTAATGACTGTTGAAGGATGAGTTACTCCATGAACACTTAATAAATTCGTACTTAACTGAACATGAAGATTCAGCACAAATTTGACCATGTAATAATTTATACGAAACTTAAGTCTATGAAAACAGTAGTACTTATCTGTAAAACATACAGAAAATGCTTTGTCTAAGGGTCAAAACTAGGAAAAAAATACCAAAGTTATCTGAATATAACATCTTGCTTAAGTTATTATTATGCATTAATAATTTCCTTGCTATCTCATAATAATCGAAACCGAGTCTTTAATTTTTGTGCAGTACGTCAACATATGTACCTGTTCAATACTCTTAATCACCCACTAAGAAAAATGTTTGACTAATTAGAGTTATAATTACATTAGTTATGTTTAGAAGGAAACCACAAGAGTTTACAGTACCCTAAAAATGTTCTGTTACTGTGCATCTGGCCACCACATTCTGCCCAGTACATCATCTAACACAAGAATTCCTGCAACACATTACCTAATGGAAACTTGTCATATTGACTAATAATAATAACTATAATTCCCCCCAAAATTCTAGAGTTTACATGTCAAGTTCATTTTAAGATTGTAAATAAATGAGAAAAAGTGAATGAAGCAGTCTAATGTAAAAATGTATTCCAGAGTTATTCATACTTTTCCAAAACTTGTATTCTTGTACTTTTTTCTATTAATTCACATTGAGTGATGAAAGTAACCTAGAGGGGTAAACGGTGGTTGAATCAGGAGGAGTTGGTGATAAGGCAGAGAACACACTTGTTTAACAGAACTTTTCTACAGTGCTGTACCAGCAATATATAACATATAACTTTGATGTTTAAGGAACTTATTTTTATACCATGTTTTATACTTCAAAACTTCTTTACAGTGAAATCTTGTTGTTTGCTACTCTTCTAATAAAAATAACAACACTATTTGTCCAGCAATGACCCTTAAACATTTTCTTAGCAATAAAAATAATTCATAAAAACTATCAATAATTGTAAACACTATACGTATCTACTTGAGGTGATGAAGCCAGCTAAATACAACCAAAAGATATTGAATAAAAACTGCATCCCAGTCTTATGACTGCTAAAACTTCCTGATAAATATATAAGAAAATAAAGGGCATCAGATTGGCCATATTATATTGCAGCTAAAATGTAACAGTTTAATTATACAAAAGATTTGCTGCATTTAATAGTTTCAATAATGTTTAAACAAAAATTCAGCAGTCAATTAGCCCAAAAAAAACTGTCACAGATAGGGATAAGTCAAATTCAAAATCTGCATTTCCATTTGTGGTGTCAGTGGAATTAAGTCCTTATTTTAATAGTATTTCTAGGCTTATACTACTTCCTACACGTGCAATGTCCTTGTGGCACCCGGCCAGTGAATGATTCTCAAGCAGTAGGGGTGCTAGGGCCCACACTACCCCGCAAAACCCGTACCTCCACTCTTATCCTCAGGCTGGGCTCTGGTCACACCTTGATACACTAGAAAGCATGACATTTTTATCTTTTAGTTGTATCATAAGACAAAGCCAGTGTCACTCCTCTTATGGTAGGGCCTTTGGACCCAAACTACTCTGTAAACCCGTGCCTTCACCCGTGAATTAAGGCTAGTGCAAGTTCTAGGATACAATGGCCGGTGCTGCCCCTGCACAGTCTTTTGGAGAGTTGGGATCAACCTGAGTGGATTCACATAAGGATCTTGGATCGAGGTCCTTTAAACTAGAAAATACAGGCCCTGCTGTAGAGACATTCTGCAGTAATCTGCTGGAGACGTCGTCGTCATCATCTATGCAGTCTAAAATGTCCACTACATTTTTAGGTCCAACACCATCATGCAGGGGCTCCACATTTTCATTTGGCACATCAGCCTGATAGATTAAAATGACAAAAGGATTTCACTTAAATTTATAGTATCAGTTTTATAAAACACAAAATATGGCTTGTGTTCAACAACAAAAAACAAGTCAGATGTCAGAGGCCAGTACCTCGTTTATCCTAACAGCGTTAGCATCTAGAAGATAGCTTGTCACAATGCCATCGTCGCGTAACCCGGGACCTCCCTGAAAGATAAAGTTTCCAGTTTATCAAACATGAACTAAGAGTACAATACTTGTATACACATGTATATAAAAATATAGATCTGTTTCAGGTCATATTGGTATCAATTACACAAGGAAGTAGATGTGTTTATTAAGAATATAAAGCGTACAGGGCACACTGAAAACTCATGCGCACTCATCCGACAGTACATTGGTAAGGTAAACCTCACCTTGGTGTCAAGGTGATGGTTATGGGTGGCAGGCGGCAGGGAGGCTAACATAGGCTTGTAATCATTAAGTTCCGTGCCATGATCCCTGCCTAAGGCCTTCACCCCATTCGCGTATACCATGCGACAAGTCCCATTACCCTGAAAGGTTGCAGGGGGCATCAATTCCATACATTTTCTCATCTCCTTGCTGAGTCATACACATTAGACAATGTGTATGACTGTGTATGACAAAAAACACCTCACTTTGTTCACGTAATTAAAATGATGCTACTTTAATTTGTTTTCTTTCAGAGGAGGTATGTATAGGATTAGCTTACCTGGTAGTCTGTAGAAACCTCTTACTACAGTATAACTTTAGCACTCCTGACAATGCAAACCATACATACAATGCATTTTTTAATCACTATTTTTTAATGCAACAAACCTGTGTGCTTTGTTTAAATGCCATAAGGAAAGTAAGAGGAGCAGCAGAAGCAACGCGTATACTTAAGCAACATACCTGGAATGCAGCAGCTGCCGAATTCTGTCTGAGGCGCACCATCCTTATACAGAGCACCACCACCACACATGTCGCTGCCATCAGCACAGCCACCACGCTGATCACAACCACTGCTGCCACAAACACACACACAATATTTATTAGAAAGGATAATGTAAAACAGTACTATGGTCAAATGGTCGCTAATAATACTGGGACTAAGTGCGAGTGTTCTCGGCAGTAGTCCTCTCTAGTACAGCCAGGTTCGTTCTCAACTCACACTCGGGAATTCCGGGTTCGAATCCCGGTTGGGTACATTTCCTATCACCTAATGCCCCTGTACACCTAGCAGTTAATAGGTACCCCAGGAGTTATTCAGCTCGGTTTGGGGGTTGCATCCTGGGTAGGGTCAGTAATGCTGCCCTGGGAGGAAAGGGGGAACCTCAGTACAGCATAAATCTAACATGAATAAATTCCATTCTATTCCATAATTAACAATCCCATAATTAAACAAAGAATCAAGATTATCACAGCTCTATGGGTTCTAATGCTTCACAATGACTTATAATCATTCTAATGGCAAAGATACCAACATTTGCAGCTTACGCAAAAACATGCACAGCAAAATGTCCAATTTTCTGAGAGAAGAAAGGCTATAACGATTGAAGCTTACTATGAAATGAGAGTGATGAGCAGACAATTGGGTTTCCCATAGTTGAAGACACAAAACCTCATTATACTACTTTTCAGTACATCACAGGAAACTCTTCAAAATTATTTTGTTTTTTAACTTATTAGACTTGACCAAAAAATACTACTTTAATTAAGATTTCCATTCTAAAAGAGAAAGCATGGGTAAAAAAAAATTTGATCAAAGTGCATTACTGTCAATGTAATCAGGTGTTAGTTGGTAAGATCAAATTTGAATTCTAGAGCTACAGTAGACATTCAGCACTGTCTCCAGTGGGCTATAATATTTCCCTCCAATCCTGTATGGGACAAATTAAACACAAATTTTCAATTAATCATCCTCGTCCAATAAACCGCTTCTGCTCTCAACCAGCATAAAAGAGAAGCTAAGCAATACCTAATTAACATCATGTAACAAATTTCTCTCATCATAAACAAGTCAATTCATGTTCCACTGTTCTTGTGAATATTAAATTTTTACATCTGTACTGTTCTCTATACTCTACAGTAGTCTATGCCTTTCATCATCAAATATCTCTTCATATTTTAATATACACACAAAAATCACATTAACGTGATGTATCAAATGAACAAATCCACAAGGGCCGTGGCGAGGATTCGAACCTATGTCTGAGAGCATCCCAGACGCTGCCTTAATCGACTTAGCTACGACATGGTAAAAGAATTGCAACCAGAAATTCTACTGAATTTACTTGGATCTTGCAGCCTCTCTGAGACACAAACCAGGATTTTACACAATTTCCCCATGCACTCGAGCTATGTCAATAGGCCGTTCTACCTCTTTGCCCTTACTTCAGTAGAATTTCTGGTTGCAAGTTTTTTACCATGTCGTAGCTCAGTCGATTAATGCAGCGTCTGGGACGCTCTCAGACGTTGGTTCGAATCCTCGTCACGGCCCTTGTGGATTTGTTAATATTTTAATATAATTTGCTAAATTTTGTAAAAAATTTATATATGTTATCTTAGCTTAATGTTTAGAAATAAATGTTTACTGTGCCTAATTAAACATAAAAAACAAATTAACTAAATAATTTTTAAGTTATGCCCAAAAGGCTTTGTGGATTTGTGGCTTTATTTAGTATTCCAGGTTCGAATCCTGGGCAGGACAGAAATGACTGACCACATTTCCTATCACCTAATGTACCTGATCACCTAGCAGAATAAGTAGCCAGAAGTTAGTCGGCTTGTTTTGGGGTTGCATCCTGGAGAGGGTCAGTAATTTAACCCTGGGTGGATGGAGGGACTGACTCTATGTAAGGCTAACATATATGCACTGGCTGCCTGTCCCCTGACAGTTAATTATTAATATTTTTTAATTGCTAATATATCTTTACAAGAGTTCTTACATTCTTGCAAAGCCACTAACACACATAGCATTTTGGGCTTAATCCTAACTTTCCCGGAATATATCCTGCCAAGTCGTTTAACAACCAGGTACCCATTCACTGCTGGATGAACAGAGGCTACAGTTTAGGATTGGCACCTGGTCAATCCTCCCTTACCAGGCCAAATCGATCGCGAAGTGTTGGGCGAATGTTTTACCACTGTGCCACAGGGACTGCCTATATTATTTAATATGCAACCTCTGTACCTCACAAATACTGTAAGCCAATGTACCTGTACTGCAATATGGTTTTATGTATATTTTATTCAAATTCAAATTCAAATTCAGGTAAAGTACATACATACAAGGGGTGATACAAATATTGATGAATTTATAGATAGAGCTAGTACATATAATGCCTAAAGTCACTATTACGCAAAGCGTTTCGGGCAGGAAAAACACTAAAGACTAAAACTTATACTAATTGAGATTAAAGTATAAAATGTGTTGAGAAAATATAAAAATAAAAAGGGGGGAACATGGCACAAAAACAGCAAAAATACAATTTGGTTGACAAACAGCATTGTTTAAAAATAACAGACATGGGTTGACATTATAGGGGTAAGGTAGGTTACAGGGAGTTAATTAGGTAGTGCTTAGTTTTTATCTTAAACTGGTTGAGAGAGGTACAGTCTGTAACATGATTGGGAAGATCATTCCACATTCTGGGTCCCTTGATTTGTAGAGCATTTCTAGTTTGATTAAGTCCTACTCTTGGAATATATGAATTATGAATAAAATTATTCTTATTCTTATTATTACAATAAAATAAATAATTTCAGAAAGAAAGTAACACCTTGTGGTGACAACTTACGCTCTGTGGAGATCTGTGGTTCCCCTTCCAGTGTGGCCCTGATGTACACAAACACTGTGGTGAGGTCACCTATGCCCCCTCCTGTTACGCCAGCTATTCGCAGAGTATAATTAGTGTTGGATACCAGGTCCTGAATCTGTGGACAGAAAGTCACCTGAAATCCTGAAAGTCAGTCCTGAATCTGTGGACAGAAAGTCACCTGAAATCCTGAAAGTCAGTCCTGAATCTGTGGACAGAAAGGATGGACATTTGGGCAAGTTACCTGATACGTTACTAGATGTTCATCTAGCAGTAAATAGTTGCCTGATACTGTGTTCACCTAGCAGTAAATAGGTACCTGATACTATGCTCACCTAGCAGTAAATAGATACCTGATACTGTGTTCACCTAGCAGTAAATAGGTACCTGATACTATGCTCACCTAGCAGTAAATAGATACCTGATACTGTGTTCACCTAGCAGTAAATAGGTACCTGATACTATGCTCACCTAGCAGTAAATAGATATCTGATACTATGTTCACCTAGCAGTAAACAGATACCTGATACTATGCTCACCTAGCAGTAAGTAGGTACCTGATACTATGCTCACCTAGCAGTAAATAGGTACCTGATACTGTGTTCACCTAGCAGTAAATAGATACCTGATACTATGTTCACCTAGCAGTAAATAGGTACCTGATACTATGCTCACCTAGCAGTAAATAGATACCTGATACTGTGTTCACCTAGCAGTAAATAGGTACCTGGGACTTAGGCACCTGTTGTGAGTTGCATCCTGGGAAAGGTCAGTCAATGGCATCCTGTCCCCATCAATGGGAAATTAAACAAATAGCGACATAAAATACTGTATTCCATAAAATACTGTATACCGTAGAGTTTAAAACTCTAAGGTATATTTTAGCCAAGTTTGAGTATCTAATTAATCATTAAATGATTGCCACTGTTGTTTTTATCCTAATTATTATAATAGTGTTCAGAGTAATTAAATACTGTATACTAAATCCTTCACAACTATCAAAAGGTCAATATCAAAAGGTCACTTCACCTGGAGTAAAAAAATTTTAAGAATGTCAATACTGATCATGAAATAAATAATTTCAAACCAACAAGGATTTTGATATGTAAATTTGAACTCATTGAAAGGTAAACTGAGGAAGTCTACTGTCTAACCTGTGTGGTAGTGAAGTAATGATCTACTGTTTAACTTTTGTAGTGAAGCCATTCTCTACTGTACACCCCCTGTGGGGTAGTGAAGGAATGGTTTACCATCTAACCTGTATTGTAGTGAAGCTACCACTGTCTACAGTCTAACCACTGTGGCATTGACGTAAATGATCTTCCACCTAACCTGTGTAGTAGTGAAGCGATGGTCAACCGTGTGGTTCTTCCACTCAAGCTGGTCGTGGGAGTAGGTGATCAGGAAGTAGAGGAGTTGACCATTGATGTGACTCGGCCGACTCCAGACCAGGATAGCGTCTTTAGGGGTAACTGCACTCCACGACACATTCACAGGAGCACTAGGAACTGCATGATAGCATGGCAGGATGTGACTGTTATCCTTGGAGAGCTTAGTGTACGTATTATTACAGAAGGAAACCTGATGGTTAATATATATTTTGCCTATATGCCTAATAGTGAATTGCTTTATACAGTACCTACTGTATAGGTAGATACTGTAGTATAAAGGTACCTACTTTCATCTGATAAAACTGTTTTGGCCGTAAGTTGACATCACTTCTATTTTTCAATTAATTTATTGTGTATTTCTTTACTACATTAAGTGGTAATTTATTCCATTGTTCCCAGTCTAGCCATCGTAACCCTCTCCATATCCCAAGGGGCGTGGCTAATGGGACTGCTTTCATTCATTCATTTATTAAAATCTAATTTTAATTCCCTCAGAATCATTTTCCTAGTACAGCTATCCTCCGAAGGAAAGCTTTTGTTACCAACGAAAGTATTCAGAGTATTTATTAGAACCCTTTCCACTACCCTTATAGTTCTAATATTAAAACGAGATTATTAATATTAAATCTAGAACTAGTTCTAATTCTAGTTCACTAGGAATGAGTGTGATAGTGCAGCATTTAATATCACCTATGTTAAGGTTATATTATGATATTGATTCTTTTTTGTTTTCATTTACCTTATATTTTTACATTATGTTTTTTTATGGAGTTTATAACACTGTTGGCAAAGCCTTTTGTTAAATAAAGCATCCAAGAACTAGATAAGTTTTCTTACTTCAGCCAGACTTCAACAAGGTGTTATTAATGTGTCATCTCAACTGAGACATCATCTCAAGGAGGAAAAATAGCCAAACCACAACACATCTTGATAGATAGAAATACGCAATATGCCAGGGACAGCTGGTAGCATTAGAAATACTGACCTCCCTCCTTGGTGACAGCAAGGAGTGGAGTCGAGGGAACGCTGGAGAGAGAGGCTGTGGCAGCAGTGACAGTTATCTGGTAGCCGTGTAGGGGCAGGAGGTGGGTCAGCACCACCCTGTGCCCCGTGACCCGAACAAGGTGCACTATACCCTCCTCCTTCCATTCTCTGGTACCTCCTGCTGCAGACTCAGATTCCTGGAATTGGTTGCATTTGTCGCTGACGATATACCTTTAAAAGCCTTCAATACCATTACTCACAAATACTCTCCCCCTACGTAAACTTTAACCCCCTATGAAATCTTAGGTTGCAATATAAATTAAATCCAGTTGTATCTCAATGATACGTAGTCATAAGTTGATAATATAACCACTCCCATTCTCCCTTTAACAACAAGGAATTACTAACTAACAACTAAAATTAATAAAACGATGGCTTCAGTGTTTACCCGAGGGGGGCGGGTCACCATCTCTCTAGTAGCTTCGACAGGAACACGAAGCTAGTGGCTTGTCAAAGGTATCCCTCCATTGTTAACCGTGGTGTGTTAACTACGTGTGGTTATGAAGTATCCAGGAGCCAAACAGAGAGCATCTTACCTGAGTGTCTGGGAGCTCACTTTCCTCTTCATTTTCACGACTGTTCTTTCTATTGTCATCAGTGACATCTTGTTCTCTTGTATTCCGACCACTGATGCTTTGAATACCAAAGTATGTCTCTACAGCACCTTGGTTACTCTTGTCGTGGTCTTCGTCAGCATGGATGGACAATGACGAGGCCTTGGGACTCTTCTGTTGCCCGAGATTCACCACTTCAACAGTGAAAAAATCAGGCAGCAATTTTTTACGCATGGGCCGCCACGTTACTAGGATGCTGGTCGAATTTAATACCTTTACCTGTTGGAAAAAAAACGTAACATGGATACAGAACAATTAAAGCATCAAAAATTAAAATATAGTTGTGAAAGTAAGAGTAATAAGGTACCATCTGATTACTGCTTTCAGTGGACAATAGAAGCAGAGAGGGACTACCCCTTCATCCTGTTGATTCCTCGAAGAACACACACATTTATCCCTCTAATATTTTATACTGGTGTAAATATATACTGATAATATCCAGATGTATTAACAGAAAGTCGTGTACTCACCTAGTTATGTAACTAGTTATGTGTGACACATACATGGAGCAATAGCTTCAAGCTCAACAAACCACAATGTATGACAGAAAACAGGAGATACTTTTTCACCCAAAGATTTATAAGCCCATTAAACTACATACCCGCCGAAGCCGTAACTGCCAAGACATTATTGAACAGCAGGTAAAAATCCAGCAAGATAAAATGATCAGGAAAAATAAGGGACCACTGTCACGCTGCCCTTTTCCTGTCCCTGTTCAGGCCACTAGAGAGATGGTGACTTTCAGGTAAATTCAGGACTTTGTCAGTCTACCAATAGACAGCTCTGCTAATAACATTGTTAGCACCTCGCCTTTCCTGTCGGGGCTTATAATGTGCATAACAATAAATCTGCTGTTATTCCACAAAGCATATTTAATTACCGAAGCCATTGTTTGGTATACTTATAAATAACCAAAGTGGTTTCACCTTAGTTAATTCCATACGCAGCCTTTCCCAGACAAGCCACTATGCAAGCATCAGCTGACTGAGCGGGCTGCACCGGATTAAGCATAAGGCCCAGGGGATTTGGGGACCCTCTGATCAAGCGTAAAATATTATGTATGCTCTAAAAAAACCAGCGTTGAATGTAATGAAACGCCATTTTCTAGATGAGGCCCAGAGACTCCCTGAAGCTATCTGAGTTGATATGTGCTATATTAGTTTGGGGTTATTAGTCACAGGAGTTATTATGCCTACCGGGTACCATGAGACAGAACCTGGTCCCCCGTACCAGGTTCAGGGTTCTTGGTTTAAAGTATGTCATAATTGCAATCAACCGGGGAAGGACCCAAAAAGGTAGGCGAATCAAAACAGATTAACTTGTGCAATCTATATTCCAAAAGATCAAAATAACTTCCTAGAAAGAAACCAAACAAACAACCCTTCATGCGACTCGCACTTCCGCGCCTTAGCTCTACCCCATCCCTTTCCCCGTAGCCCCCGTAGCCTCTGTAGGGAAGGAGGGGAAGCCCGCTCACCCGAGCCGGCAGCTTACCACTCCAGTTCTTGAACGATGAAAAAACGCTGACCGGAGGGTGGGAGGAAGTGTCATGGAGCTTCCGGGACTCATCCAGAAAATGGGGTTTCATTACATTCAGCGCTGGTTTTCTGTGGGAAGCCCCATCGGCTCCCGGAAGCTAACTACCCAAAGATAAGTAAAAAGAGGGACTTATCCGAGGGGCGACAGCACCGCGGGTCTCAAGATGAAGAACAGACGGCCGTGCCAGGCGCCTCAAAACCACACACAACCGGGAAGGAACCGGAACATTCACTAAATTCCTGGCAGCCAGGACCCTGTTCGACCTCAAAACCCCCGCGCCGGAATGTCCACTTAAGACATACTGCCAAAAACTGCTGCGAGAGCAGCATACTTCCGAACGTCAGGGCAGGAGGGTAGACCGCAGACTGGCTGGACTTTATGACACTGCAGACAACCTGAGACACACGAGCCCTGGAACAGGGAACCAGGGAAACCGAAATCCACCCAAAGAGCGTCCACCGTCAAAGAACGAGTGACCCGCAAGTAGCGGCCTCACACCCATACAGCTATACCTTGACTTTCTTGATGCCTATCTTGTCACTGTAGTTTGGCTGTGGTGGAATGGCTGGAGGTAGCAGCAGGGTGCAGACAGTCCGGTCAGTACTCGGGATAATACCCCTCTCCTGCCCGTCCTTGTAATGAGGCTCAATCTTCACACTGTAACACGTACCGGGCTCTGGGGATGAAATAGCAATGAGTATACCGCGAACATTATGCTGTAAGAGTACATATTTCAGAACAGGATGGTAACACAATATTTTGTATTTTAGAATGAATTAATATAAGAAAAATATATCAATACAGTGTAATATATAAATCAACTTACCAAGTTTTTTGATGAGAAGAGAGGTGGCGGACGGCTCCGTGTGCTTGTGGTGTCTCAGAGAAGGAGTGTTGTTGTAGACTACCTCGTATATGAAGACATCTCGGCGTAGTGCCGCAGCCATGACCCATTCCACCTGTTACACATATATGCTCACCTATTACTCCTAAGGTAAGCTATAGTAACACGGAAAGCCATCTCTAACATCCTAGGATCTAAACAACAATCACAAAACATGCAGATACAACTCTCCAAGGATGGTTACACACTTGCAACAGACTTAAGAAATTGCAACTGAATTAAATAGCTTCTATTCACCAATTGGTACTAACCTTGCCAAGAAAATGCCAGAGATCCAGACACACGTTACTACATATCTCACCGGCAGCTATCTTAACTCTCTATTATTATTAAATAAATAAATAAATAAATAAATAAATAAATAAATAAATAAATAAATATATATCTCTGGTGCACCCTCACTTGAATTATTGTATTCAAGCATGGAGACCTCATCTTCAGAAGGATATGGCTGCTCTGGAGAAACTTCAACACTTGGCAACAAAAAATCTTTCCAGAACTAGGTCAACTCTCTTATCAGGAACGGTTGAGGGTCTCAGGGCTAACAACACTGTAAACCAGGCATCATAGGGCGGATCTCATCGAAACTTAAAATACTGAACAATTTGGAGGATCTTGATTCAGACAAGGGTTTGAAGCTCAACAAGCCAAAATGTAGGACTGAGAACGGATGCTTTTGCACCTACAGGGTTATAAATCCATGAAACTGCCTACTCGCCGAAGTCGTAAATGCCAAAACTGTTAAATTTTTCAATCCAGCTGGAAAAAGAAATCAACAAGGCAAATGACAAGCCACCGGCTTCCTGTCCTCGTCGAAGTCACGAGAGTGTTAGTGAGCCTCAGATAAATTTAGGTAAGTGCAATTCACACAGCACATATTTCAACACAATGCATTATTCAACCCGTTTTCACACTTTCGTATAGTCAATATTGACTTATTAAATATGTGCATATGTGACATACTTAACATACTAGTTTACCTTGAAAAGCTTCATAGAAAACACCGACCTTACCTAACCTTCTTAGTATGTTAAGATAAGCATCTTATTGCTTCATAATTACAATTATTACTTAACCTATACCTATAATAGGTTAAGTAATAATTGTAATTAAGGTAAGGTCGGTGTTTTCTATGAAGCTTTTTAAGGTAAACTAGTATGTTAAGTATGTCACATATGCACGTATTTAATAAGTCAATATTGACTGTAAGAAAGTGCGAGAACGGGTTGCTATATTAAGCATCTGCTGTAGCCAATTAATTGGCAGAAAGTACAGGATGGAACAAACCCACTTACTAGGATTTCTGTGGGCTTGTCACTGAAGACAGAGAGATGAAGGTCGATGTCCTTGTCATGCTGCTTGAGATCTATTTTGGGCATCTTGATCTCTTCCCAGGCTCGCCGCTCATTGTGTTCTGGGTAGCCAGCTTCCGTGGCCACCAAAACCCTAGCCATGTACAAGGTGTTGGGCTGCAAGTCTGCCACACACAGGGAAGAAGGACGTTTGTTTGCATTAAAGACACAACTACTCTTTCTGTAATCTATAAAACCCTGATGCGAGCTCTCTATGTGCATTTGTTCACCTTCTACAGTCATGTTCATTGTATGCCCTCATACTGCTCAATTTACACCCCCTCCCCCATGTGTAAACACTTCACACTGTCTTATCCCTATTCTTTACATCCTTTATATTCTTTCATTCTTGACATTTGTATTATTGCCACTGCCTGTATCTAGTTTCTAATTCTCTCACACCTCCATACTTTCCGTTCCATAGCTTCCTAAGTCGCCCCTGCTGAGTTATGAATTGTTGCATGCAATCCCCTGCTGTCTCTCCTACCTTCACTTTCCTTACCTAACCCCCCCTTCTACATCGTATTCTCCTAAGTCGCCCCATTCCACAGCTTCCTAATTCTAAACGTTCCATAGCTTTCTAACTCTCCCCGCTCCATATTTAGCTTTCTAATTCTTATTTGCCCAAGTTCTATCCACACTTCCTGGAGAAATTGGTATGCAGGAACCAACTGGAACGCTAGATCCTTCAACATTGCAGGAGCCCCTTCGACGATCTGGAAGGACGCACTAAGCATCCTAAGATGCCCTAAGCATCTTCGAGACTATGTCACGTAAATGCAAGACGGGGTGAATGTAATACAAATGTGTCTATCTATCGGTGTGGAGCTGTAGTTGTGTCAGATGGATGCTCGCTTGATTGTTATTGTTTGATCAATAAAGCAACAAGTCTGGCAGAGCGTTTGTTTTACCTCACCTCGTATCACGTAATCGGTGACATCCGGGGGTACCTCTTCCATTTCATGATAATGAGCGTGTTTTTGTTGCCACTGGACTCTCTGGTGGATGATGGCGCCATTGGCCTCCTCCTTAGTCAATGGTTTCCATATCACATGCAGTACGGTGGGGGAGAGAGCCTTCAGTGTTACATTAGGCAGCTGCGTTGGCACTGTCCGGAAGAAAACAACACAATTTAAAATGGTCTTGAGTGGACATGCAGGACTTAACACACTAAATTCCTACAAGTTCTTGACATTAAGTTAATAACTTAATTCTGACATTAAGACTAGAATGGGGAAGTTATTTGTTTAATTTTCAAAATCTCGTAATAAGAACTCCCCCCCCCCCACGTTTGTTATTATTTGTCCTTGAAGCATGATGAGGTCTTAACAATTGATCAAACAATATCTATGGACGAGACATTCATATACCTTGATATATATATAAGTATTGTAGTATCATTACCGTCTATACCCCATTGTTCACTCTCACTGGGTGAAGAGGAACTTACCGGAGAGAACGGAATGTGTTGTGATGTAGAGTGAACGACACACCTACTCTTCACTGGGTTTATTTTGCACTTCCTACCATGTCTTTCTAACCAGTATGTTGTTATTTTACTGTGCAAAATTAAACACCTGGCCATCTAGTATCTTTCTTGTACATATTATGTGATACTTCTCTCGTCTCCATTCTAGGGAGTACATTTTGAGAGCTTTGAGATGGACTCAATGGTTTAGATTCTTTGTCGTTCTGTATAGGTTCTCTGAATCGACTTCAGAATGGTCCAGGACGGACCGAAACGTCGTCGTGTGTGTGGTAAACCTTCGTATGTTGGTGTAAACCTTCTAGTGTGTGGTCTGGTCAACATACTTTAGCCATGGTATTGTGACTCATCACCTGCATAGGTTCTCTGTATTCCCTCTATTTCAGAAAACCTTCCCGTTTTGAAAGGGGAAGTGAGTACCGAGCAGTGCAGTACTAAAGACAGGACAGCAGCAGTTATTTCAATATTATGAGCAATGAGATGGGATCCCTGGATTTGATAATCCATCCTATCATTTTTCCTGGCTGAAAATTTGCTTTATTGTGCTCCCTAAACTATAGTTCGTCTGACATCATTATTCCCACATTCTTTACACCTTGTTTTCCTTCTGTGGGTAGATTTGATTGTACCTGATACAGTATTCTGAATTTCATTTAAGTCCTTTAATTTGACCATACCTAAGTACATCTGGAATTTATCACTGTTAAACATCATGCTATTTTTCGTTTCCTAGTCGAAGACTTTGTTATCCGCATGTAGTTTGAAAATGTCTTCTGCAGAAGTAATTTTCACGCTGATTTTTGTATCATCCACAAAGGATGACAAGAAGCTGACCTATATTTTTGTCCATATCTAATATAAGTGTGAGGAAAAGCGGTGGTGCAAGGACTGTGCTCTGAGGCACAGAGATTTTCATTGTACCTGGGCTTGATTTATTTTGATTGACTGTTACTGTTTGCATTTTGCTAGACAGAAAATTGAACATCCATTGTCCTATTTTAACTGTCATTCCTCTTGATCTAATTTTATAAGCGATCTGTCCATAGTCATATTTATCAAAAGCTTTGCAAAATCCATATATACAACATCTGAATTTAGTTGTTCTTCAAATGCTTCTGTAATTTTATCACATTGGTTGAGAAATTGCGAAAGGCAAGATCTTCTAGGTGTAAATCCATGTTCACCAAGGTTGTGAAGTTCATAGTTCACAGAACTGGAGATCTGACCTAATCGTTCAAAAACTGTTAATATGTGTGTGTATGTGTGTGATGTTAGCACAATTGGTTTATGGGTTTTAGACAATGCTTTGCTACCTCCCTTGTACAGTGGATGAATACCTGCTGACTTAAGTGCGGTATCTACCCTGTATCTAAGCTTGTTGGCTACTAGTTATATATATATATATATACTGGGCAGACACTGGGTCTTGGTTGCTATAATAAGCAGGCACTGGGTATTTAAGCTCCTAGACAAAGAGAGGCGGTCTTTGCTCCCGCCAACCCTCCTTGAGGACGCCAGAGGCCAGATTCACAAAGCAGTTACGCAAGAACTTACGAACCTGTACATTCTCTCTCAATCTTTGGCGGCTTTGTTTACAATTATTAAACAGTTAATAAACTCCGAAGCACCAGGAGGCTGTTTATAACAATAAAACCAGTTTACTGAGAAGTTTTCATGCTTGTAAACTGTTTAATAAATGTAAACAAAGCCGTCAAAGATTGAGGAAAGATGTACACGTTCGTAACTGCTTCGTAAATCTGGCGCCAGGATACTCACAGTCAGCGTGGGTGCGCCAGATGAGCGGCTCAGAGGGCACGCCGATGACGGGGTCGTCCTGGTCCTCGATGATGACGAACGCTCGGATATAGATGGAATAGTTTGTGTAAGCGCGCAGCTTCTCGATCTTCAAGCTGGTGCTGTTGGTCACGTGCTGCTTCTCCTGCGCCGTGGAGTCTGGAACGTAAGGAACACATGTACTCACGGAGCAACGTATGGTAATGATGAGCGGAAAGGGCTACGTCAGAATGATTATATATATGGCATTTGAAAGGGATATGCGCAACGACAATTGGGCTAGATGGTAGAGCTTCTTACAGGTCGGGTCGGCGTTTAATCCCCGACCGGCCAAGTGGTTGGCCACCATTTCTTTCCTCTGTACTTATCCCAAATAATTATCCTCATCCCCCCTTCCAAGAGCTATATATATATATATATATATATATATATATATATATATATATATATATATATATATATATATATATATATATATATATATATATATATAGTTGTAATGGCTTAGTGCTTTCTCCTGATAATTAAATTACCATGAAAGAGATATGGGGACAAAATAGGTGTTCGGAAAGGAGGATGGAGTGAAGGAACTTTTTACAAGCCCGTGTTCGGGGCTCAGATACCGGCTTACAAGAAGCAAAGCCATCACCGTCTTAGCGAGTCCAAATGAATTGGGGGCCCTGTTGTAATTTAGCTGGATATATTTTGGAATATAACCCAGTATATAATTATTTCATTACTCATCGTAAAATTTACAGAGCCAAAATACTGTGAAAGCCTTATAGGACCAGTCAACTCTGGACAAACACGCGGGAACTTACCGATATCGAAGTAATGGACGATGTAGCCCATGGTCGCCGTCTGGCCTACTGGCGGAGGAGGGCTCCATACCACCAGGATGTCCTTAGATGTAGTCTCGTTCACCAGGATGTCGACGGGCGCCTGGGGTATGTTGGAAGGTGTGTCGACGGTCAGCACGAAGCCGTCTGAGGCCACCCCGACCCTGTTCTTCACTACACACTGGTAGAAACCCTGCAAGCGGGGGAAGGGGGGAAGGCAGAATGTCAGTATGAGCCACGTCTTTGCCTTCAAGCTGCGGTGGTAGGTTTTCACCACCAAGCTGTGGTGGTGGTAGGCCTTCACCGTCAGACTGTGGAGGTCTTCAGAAACTTCAGTGCTGCACAGGCAGGAGGTGCTGCCAATCACCGGGAAGCAGCCAAGTCGCGTAAATACACAGACCTTGATCACAACAACAATTGATTCCCGTCAACATACAAGTCTGGTAATAATAGGAAATGACATTGCAGACGAAGCTGCAAAACTTGCAACTAAGAGAAGAAATGTAGACATTTGCATACCACAGAGTCAATCACAGATTAAGAAAGTAATTAGAAACAGAGCAATGCAGAAGATGTACAGTGACCACAACACAGCAGTTGCAACATCAGGATCTGCGGGTTGGTACAAGAATTCAACCGACTACGGACCACTTAATTTGATGAAAGGGAGCAGTAGAGCAACAGAAGTACACTTACATCGCATCAGGCTTGGATACCCATGTGCATGGGAAATAGGCTTACAGGTTCCGGAAGATGAGAGGAAATGTCAGCACTGTGGAGAAATGCCCGACAGACCACTGGAACATTATCTAACACAGTGCACAGTTACAAACCCATTAAGATTTCAACTTAGATTCAACAGAGCAGAAGAAGTTGTTAAACACATATGGCAAAATCTTACTAAAGCGACCATACGAGTCTTAAATACTCGTACTCCGCCCAAGTAAAACAGAAACAAGCAACACTTAGTGGGCCACCCAGAGGCTTAGGGCCCGCGCAGGAATATCCCTGTGAAAAAAAACTACAATTTTGTCCCCATTGCCTCAGACACACTTGGTGCCTGGGGTAAAAGTGCACCTATTTTTTTAAGGAGCCGGATCCTAAGCTATTTGAAACAACTAGAGACCCTAGAGGCGCCAGTTTCCTTTTTCTGCGCCTTAGTGTGGCCATATAGAGAGGGAACACCCACTCCATCCATGGTTCCTGCCCGCCATCTGAGGAGCTGGAGGAACTCTACAACCTGTGACAAGTAGCCTTGTACCCTGCATGTAACCAATGTTATAACCCTTTTTGTGTAACGAAATTTAAAATAAAATAAAATGACAAGATACAAAAATATAGAGGGTCGAAGAAGACAATATGAGAGTGTACGCGTATGTCCCACAAGGCTCCCCCGGATGCTGCATATCGTCTTCTTCGAAGACGAGGGTCCCTACAAACGCAACCGGAGGTAGTACCCCTATATATATATATATATATATATATATATATATATATATATATATATATATATATATATATATATATATATATATATATATATATATATATATATGTCGTACCTAGTAGCCAGAACGCACTTCTATGCCTACTATGCAAGGCCCGATTTGCCTAATAAGCCAAGTTTTCATGAATTAATTGTTTTTCGACTACCTAACCTACCTAACCTAACCTAACCTAGCTTTTTTTGGCTACCTAACCTAACCTTACCTATAAATATAGGTTAGGTTAGGTTAGGTAGGGTTGGTTAGGTTCGGTCATATATCTACGTTAATTTTAACTCCAATAAAAAAAAATTGACCTCATACATAGAGAAAAGGGTTGCTTTATCATTTCATAAGAAAAAAATTATAGTAAATATATTAATTCAGGAAAACTTGGCTTATTAGGCAAATCGGGCCTTGAATAGTAGGCTGAGAAGTGAGTTCTGGCTACTAGGTACGACATATATATATATATATATATATATATATATATATATATATATATATATATATATATATATATATATATATATATATATTAAACAGTGAACTCGTCCTCATACTGGACGTATATGTAAACAGTAAGAAATATATAAATTGAGTGCAAATGCATAATGCACATTTCCTTGGAGTAACAATTATCAAGAGAGTCTCTGGAGAAGGTAATTCTAAGATCATATGCTTATGGACAGGTCAAAAGCGTACACACAACGGAGCACTGATGTGACGAGCGAACTCACCGTGTCTCGGACCATGATGTCAGCGATAACCAGTTGCTCCTTCGTGAAGTTCTTCTCCATCACGGAGTTGCCGAAGTTGTGCCTGCCGGAGACGGGGATGGGGAGGCCGTCCTTGTACCAGATGATTTCCGGAGAGGGCAGGCCCTCAGCGGAGCAGGATATCCGCACCACGGACTCCCCGTTACGCACGGCTTGGGACAGGGTTATAGTTTTGGTCCGGGTGGACACGGTCACCTCGACCCGCGGGGCCTTCAACACGGAAAGCTCGATCATCTGCAAAACACAGAAAATTACCGTCAATCTCTATAGTGTCTGGGCCAAGTCATCAGACCCTATAATCTCCAACACTCATCAGACACTTCTCAGGGCACAGGTATGCTGTGTTATTGGTGTTCTCAGCTTGTCGTGGATGCTAAAGATTTATTTAAGAAACTTTTGCATATGTGATCTACTGAACCTTTGTCTGGTATTCTATGCCCGCCTTCAAGACCTGTTGCTATAGATTCAGCTACTCGGAACAGGTTCCAAGTAGCACGGGCTATGGTGAGCCCGTAACTTACTTGGCACAGGAGCGGGGCAAGTAGCACGGGCTATGGTGAGCCCGTAACTTACTTGGCACAGGAGCGGGGCAAGTAGCACGGGCTATGGTGAGCCCGTAACTTACTTGGCACAGGAGCGGGGCAAGTAGCACGGGCTATGGTGAGCTCGTAGTGGACTTACCTGGCACGGGAGTGGTGCCGTCTCTCTGTGCTTTAAGACCTCCTGATCTCTTCCTTAAGTACTTCTTCACCTGACAACCTTCCTTCGCACGTACCTGGGTCACGGGGTTTCGGTACAGCTTGCTGACGACGGAGCAGTTGTAGACCCCGGCGTCCTGATCCTGAACCTGCAGGAACACCAGGGAGCCTTGGCCCTCCACCCTCACTCCCTTGGTGCGGATGGCTCGCTCGTCTGAAATTCAACACTCCATTTTAACAGGTGAAAGAGCAGTAACGGAGGGACGCCGGTAACAGAAGACTCCGCTTCAACAGGTGACACAGCAGTAAGAACGGAGGAAAGCCATTCATTGTGTGTATAAACAGGACACAAGCAAGTCACAAGGTCTAACCAATAAATTTATTCGCAGAAGTTGTAAGGTCGTGTCTGACTTTCTGAGAGTCTCGCAAGACTGTTAGTTGACGCAGTCGGCTCGCAAATAATTGAACCAGAGAGTGATTCCCGCGGACAGCAAGACATCAGACTAGATTTACAAGTAACCAAGATTTCCCTGTGGGTGAGACGGGGAAGTGGGAAAGGAATAGATTGAGAAGAGCTGACAGTTGTAGGAGAGAGAGAGAGAATACCAGGGCTTAACCCAACTGCTTGTCTATTGGTCAGCGGTTCGCGAGGCAAAGTACTGATAATTTTGTATTTTGTTAACATCAACAAGCCTTTTGTTGCACTAATTGTCGTACTGACCATCAGAGCTGTTTGAAAATTGTTATGAAGAAAAAGGAATATATAACAATGTCAGAGCGCCAGTGTCTTGAAGAGAGTTTGTGTTTAATAAACACAAACGCATTTGAGAAAATTCCCGTTTTGAATGAACAGCATGTTAAAATTTATGAACGTGTCTGTGGGGTCGACCGCTGGATGGAATGGACTTGAGTCGAGGACGGGTTGTGTGAGTCGTGTGTAAACTGTTTTTCAATCATAGAAAAAGGGAGGGGGGGGGGGAGAGAGAAATAGATGAGGGGGGTTGGGGTGGGGGGATCTCGGCTGCATAAAATCATTTTTGGCCTTAATTGTCGACGCCGGGCCGAGGAAAGATGTGTGATGTTTATAATCTATCTATTGATCAATTTGTTATTGATTTCCATCGAATATTAATGGTTGAGTGTTTGTAGTGTCATCGTAACTTATGCTTTAGGAGATATACTACCAGTCATAAATCCATCTAAGTACTCTGACTTGTACTCTCTGCAGTTTTAATTGGTCTGTTTTTTACTGCTAATGAAAGTTCAAGTGAACAAATCCACCAGGGCCGTGACGAGGATTCGAACTTGCGTCCGGGAGCATCCCAGACACTGCCTTAATCGACTGAGTCCGGGATGCTCCCGGACGCAGGTTCGATTCCTCGTCACGGCCCCTTGTGGATATCTTCATTTGATGCATCACGTTAGTGTGATCTCTGTGTGTAAAGTTCAAGTGATCCATAAGTTATTAATGAGCAAGTTGTAATCTGTAACGTAAGATAGAAATGAGAAAAATGGAGATCAGGAGAAAGCACAAAAGCCATTACGTCTATATAGGGCCCCACAGGGCTGACAACAGAGCAAACCAGACATGACAGCGCTGATCTCATTTAAAGTTTTAAAATACTGAACAATTTAGAGGATGTTGATCCTCCAAAGGTCAGATGTAACACAAACAAGGAGCAACGGTTTCAAGCTCAACAAGCCACAATGTAGAACTGAGAACAAGAGATGCTTCCTCACCCATAGGGTTATAAACCCATGGAACCGCCTACCCGTCGAAGCCGTAAACGCAAAAACTCTGATATATATATTAAAATCCAACTGGAAAACCTCATCAGGGTTAATAGGACCTTTGACAAGCCGCCAGCTTCCTATCCTCGTCGAGGCCACTAGTGTTTGTGGCCCGTCAGGTAAATTCAGGCAAATTCAAGTTAGACCTAAAGAGATCATGGAAAGAAAACGAAGTGATAATCTAGAGACAGGAGGGGAGACTCACCTATCCTGGACCACAGGAGCTGGGGCTGGTAGACATCATCCGTCATGCACTCAAGGATCGCCCGTTGTCCAACTTCCACCTCCACTTTCGATGGCACCGCCAGCAGCGTCGGCCTCCACGTGTGTCCCTCGCCGCCTGCCGCAGAGGTGGCAGCAGACTCCACCACCAGGCGGCCACCGGGACTCACGAACTCCTTCTTCAGGAGGTGGTTAACTGCCTTGCACCTGCGGAGTAACTAGGCAACGTCTGGACGAGGTAGTTCATACGTGAAGGGTTTGGTACTTTAAGCCCCTAACCAATAGACCTTAATGACCAACCATCAACTATAATTTAAGTCTAATTGAATTGAAGAAAACCCTAAATGTATATATACAGAAAATGGGAATACACCCCCGGTGGAAACCCCTCCCCCTCCCCCTGGGTTATTAAGGCCGTGGCACAAGCTGGTACAATATTAATTATTTTAAGGCATTTATCAATTGCATTTATTGGATATGTATATTTAATTGATAATCCACGTATCATATATATGAATTTTAATGAACTATTTATGGAGTTTTCAAGCGTCAGATACAACAGATAAATAAAATTATATAAACTGTGTGTGAGAGAGAGAGAGAGAGAGAGAGAGAGAGAGAGAGAGAGAGAGAGAGAGAGAGAGAGAGAGAGAGAGAGAGAAAGCGTCGTTCCCTCATACCTGTATATTCCAGCGTCCTGAAGGGTGACGTTAGTGATCTGTAGCACCATGGGCGTTGGCTGGTAGTACCTACAGAAGGAGAAGGAAGGACTGACGTTAGGCTGACGAAAGCATCGGCGAGGATAATTTTATAGTTGTGGTGGTGATGGTGGTGGTATACTCACCTACCATGCTAGGGGAAAGGGATGTAATACTCACCTAGCGTGCTAGGGGAAAGGGAGGTATACTCACCTAGCGTGCTAGGGGAAAGGGAGGGTAATACTCACCTAGCGTGCTGGGGAAGAGGGCGGCTGTCTTTGAGCCAGGTGAGGTTGGCGTAAGGAATGGAAGAGAAGTAACAGGTGAGTCGGATGGCGCTGCCCTGCCCCACCGTAGCGTTCCTGGGTCGAATCATCCATGAACCGGTTTCTAGGGGGAGATGATAACAGCACCTTAGTGTACCGTCAGGCGGCTACCACAACACTGCCCCTGTGTACCCTGATTATAAAATCTTCTCGATGATTTATAAGCCGTTTCTAGCACCCAGGTAAATGAACTTTGCATAAATCAAGGTAAATCAAGATTTTCCTGTATGCAATATGCATTATATATATATATATATATATATATATATATATATATATATATATATATATATATATATATATATAAATATGCATATATATATATATATATATATATATATATATATATATATATATATATATATATATATATATATGTGTGTGTGTGTGTGTGTGTGTGTGTGTGTGTGTGTGTGTGTGTGTGTGTGTGTGTGTGTGTGTGTGTGTACTCACCTATTTGTGCTTGCAGGATCGAGCATCGACTCTTGGATCCCGCCTTTCCAGCTATCTGTTGTTTACAGCATGACTCCTGTCCCATTTCCCTATCATACCTAATTTTAAAAGTATGAATAGAGTTTGCTTCCACAACCTGTTCCCCAAGTGCATTCCATTTTTCCACTACTCTCACGCTAAAAGAAAACTTCCTAACACTTCCATAACTTTGACTCATCTGAGTTTCCCGTTTCCACCCATGTCCCCTCGTTCTGTTATTATTACGTGTGAACATTTCATCTATTTCCACTTTGTCAATTCCCCTGAGTATTTTATATGTCCCTATCATATCTCCTCTCTCCCTTCTTTTCTCTAGTGTCGTAAGGTTCAGTTCCTTCAGACGCTCTTCATATCCCATCCCTCGTAACTCTGGGACAAGCTTCGTCGCAAACCTTAACCTGTGTGTGTGACAAGACAAGCCTGTGTACTCACCTAATTGTACTCACCTAATTGTGCTTGCGGGGGTTGAGCTCTGGCTCTTTGGTCCCGCCTCTCAACCGTCAATCAACTGGTGTACAGATTCCTGAGCCTATTGGGCTCTATCATATCTACATTTGAAACTGTGTATGGAGTCAGCCTCCACCACATCACTTCCTAATGCATTCCATTTACTAACTACTCTGACACTGAAAAAGTTCTTTCTAACGTCTCTGTGGCTCATTTGGGTACTCAGCTTCCACCTGTTTCCCCTTGTTCGCGTCCCACCAGTGTTGAATAGTACATCCTTGTTTACCCGGTCGATTCCTCTGAGGATTTTGTAGGTTGTGATCATGTCCCCCCTTACTCTTCTGTCTTCCAGTGTCGTAAGGTGCATTTCCCGCAGCCTTTCCTCATAACTCATGCCTCTTAGTTCTGGGACTAGTCTAGTAACATACCTTTGGACTTTTTCCAGCTTCGTCTTGTGCTTGACAAGGTACGGGCTCCATGCTGGGGCCGCATACTCCAGGATTGGTCTTACATATGTGGTGTACAAGATTCTGAATGATTCCTTACACAGGTTCCTGAACGCCGTTCTGATGTTAGCCAGCCTCGCATATGCCGCAGACGTTATTCTCTTTATGTGGGCTTCAGGAGACAGGTTTGGTGTGATATCAACTCCTAGATCTTTCTCTCTGTCTGTTTCATTAAGTACTTCATCTCCTATTCTGTATCCTGTGCCTGGCCTCCTGTTTCCACTGCCTAGTTTCATTACTGTGTGTTGTGTGTGTGTGTGTGTGTGTGTGTGTGTGTGTGTGTGTGTGTGTGTGTGTGTGTGTGTGTGTGTGTGTGTGTGTTTCATAGAATATGACTGTATATTCCGTGTTGATTATTTTCTTGCTTTTGGATTCTATTCCTCTGATTGATGCTCTAGCATCTTGGTTTAATTGAAAGAGAATTTCTCCAAATGTTATATGTGCTCAAAATTGAGTACAGTAATAATAATAAACTGTAGAATGAGTTTCACTTATTATATTTTACACAACGTTTCGAACCTACAAGGTTCATTCTCAAGTGAGGAGACAGGATTGCTTGATGAAGATTAAGCCACCCCCAAGAGGTGGCACGGGTATGAATAGCCCAAAACAACGGGATAGGAGTTGTTGTTGTTGTAGAACAATTTTATTGGACGTACGGGTACTGTGGTACTGGTTCTTCCGTCGCCTGTTGCTCACTTCACCATCTTCCTTTTTATGATGTCTTGGACATAACCATTGTTGACCAAAATCTTTCCTTATTCTACATAACGTCTCATCCACCTGGTACCAATACCGCAATACCCGTACTTGAAATAAAGAAAGAACGTTAGAAAGTTCTTTAGAAAGTTTCTTATTCTAAAGAAACTTCTTCTCGACGGCCTACAAAGTGGAGGAAAGGACCCCGAGAGAGATCATGGAGAGGAACGTAACCCCTAACTGACGTCAACTAAAAGATAAAACTAACAATATATTATAAGAGGAGAAAAACCGCCAATTTGCTCATGAAGAATTCTCCCGATATCAAGGGAAAAAAGACCAACGTTGTCTACGCCTTCACGTGCCTACTTGGGGATTGTCAGCCTCAACGATTTCAGTATATAGGCAAGACAACAATGTCCCTCTCTAGGCGATTAAACAATGCACAAACCAACTCGCCCTCTTTCAAATTACGTCGCTTTTCGCTCGTATGAGCAACCAGGTTAAAAAAAGGACGTAATTTAAAATGGAATTGACTTGAAGAAAGTTACGTACTGTCCCGTTTTCTGTTTTAGGTCCTCCGGCTTAGGCTGTTAGGTTAGGAGAGGACACTTTCAATCCGTCCTGGACCATTCTCAAGTCGACTTGAGAATGATCCAGGACGGACCGAAACGTCGTCGTCCCTTCACCTTCTAGTGTGTGGTCTGGTCAACATACTTTAGCCACGTTATTGTGACTCATCGTCTACATAAGGACACGTTCCATTAACGGTTTTCATGAGGTTTTGAAACCTTAGGAGAACTTCCTGCCCTCCTAACCTGCCACAGGACCCAAAACTTGCTGCTTTGGAAAAAAAATCGACATTTTTTTGTTCAATTATTTTTCATTTTCAATTTACGGCCTTTTTTTTGGCCGTAGTGCACAAACAACATGACTCCATCAAGGAACATATATAATCGCCACATACAACTACGATCACCAGGAATATTTTAACGAGCAACACCGAAATAATTGATGGATACAATGACAATAGAAGATTAGACATTAGTGAAGCGCTGCATATCAAGAAATCTAGACCAGCCATCAACAACCAGCTATTACACAGTTACACTCTACCCACTTCAAGACCCCGGGAACAGTGCAGAAGCTGGACCGAACGACCCTCCAACAGGAACGGAACTAGCCAGAACATAAGCTGCCAACATTCATCCATATATATATATATATATATATATATATATATATATATATATATATATATATATATATATATATATATATATATATATATATATATATATATATATATATACAGTGGTGGTCGGTTGAGGATGGTAGTGATGGCTGGTTAGGTTGTAGTGGGCGTGGGCCGCTCAACAAGTGTGGGCGTGGGAACGTGTGTGGGCGTGGGACTGGCAACAGTATTGATCTGAGTACCAGTAGTGCGAAGCGAGTATGATTACGGCCTTCAGACATACAAGTGTTCTGTATTTATATGAACCTCTGCGCTCTCTCTCTCTCTCTCTCTCTCTCTCTCTCTCTCTCTCTCTCTCTCTCTCTCTCTCTCTCTCGCTCTCTTTAGTAACTTTTCTACTGCTCATAATGTGTTTTCTCTTTATGGTCTCTTCAGTGTGTTCCACACACCACATTCCCTCCTGCGTCTGCCATAGCACCCGTCCCCTCTCTCCCCTCCAACCTCGAACAGATAGACAATTACATTAGCATATAAAGTAAAGTATGAAAATGCGCGGGTAGACGGCGGGAGTAACTTATCACTCTACGGACAGCGCGCCAATAATTTCATTTCCGACACATCCATCTACAGACACAGGGCTTCGCGGCCGAGTGGACAGCGCACAGGGGTCGTTGGTTTAAGGGCCCGGGTTCGATTCTTGGCCGAGGCAGAAACAAATGGGGCACGTTCTTTCGCCTGATTCGTCTGTTTACCGGGGCTGCAATCCTAGAGATGTGTGTGTGAGAAAGAGAAATGCATGAGGTAAATATCATAAGAGGAAAATAGGTCGGAAGTCAATATGTTAGACAATCGATGGTTAGAAAATTGAGGTCCAAAAGCTGACAGCTCGATCCTGCAGCCACAAATACACACACACACACACACACACACACACACACACACACACACACACATACACACCGGGGCGCCGGTGGCTGAGTGGACAGCGCACTTGATACGCAATCCTGTGGAACGGGGTTCGATTCTCGGTACCGGCGCGAAACTATGGGGCAGAGTTACCTGTTACCTAGCAGTAAATAGGTACCTGGGAGTTAGACAGCTGCTACGGGCTGCTTCTCTGGGGGGTGAGTGTGTGTGTGTGTGAAAAGAAATTAGTTAGTTGGTAGTTAGTAACAGTTAATTGACAGTTGAGAAGCAGGCCGAAAGAACAGGGCTTAACCCCCGCAAGCACAACTAGGTGAACACACACACACACACACACACACACACACACACACACACACACACACACACACACACACACACACACACACACACACACACACGTACATATGTACGTTAAGCTAATTATCAAAGCTTTGCATTTTAGTTTCATTATACATCAGAACCTCCAGTTCCATAGAGGCATAATGACATCAAACATTGCATTTTAATATACAGCTAAAAAATACAATTATTATATTACATATGCATTATATTAGTGTAACGCACGATGATCTAAATGTCAGCCTTAATCACTCGTCAATCAAAAACTTGATGCTCTTAAGAAAGCGAAAGGTCATCAACTTGACGCTCTTAAGAAAGCGAAAGGTCATCAACTTGACGCTCTTAAGAAAGCGAAAGGTCATCAACTTGACGCTCTTAAAAAGACTTTCCGGTGTATTTCCCAAGTCGTTTATGCGCCTCTTCAATTATTTATGAACTCTTTCAGTTGTAGGACGAACT